AAGGCTGTAAAAAGGGCAAATGGGATTCTAGGCTTTATAAATAGGGGCATAGAGTACAAGAGTCAGGAGGTTATGATTAACCGATATAAAACACTGGTTAGGCCTCAGTTAGAATACTGCACCCAGTTCTGGGCACCGCACTATAGGAAGGATGTTAAGGCATTGGAAAGAGTGCAGAGGAGATTTACAAGAATGGTACCAGGAATGAGGGACCTTGATTATGAGCAAAGGCCAGTGAGGCGAGGATTATTCTCATTGGAGCAGAGAAGGTTACGAGGAGACCTAATAGAGGTCTTCAAAATCATGAGGGGATTTGATAGGTTAGAAAGGGAAAAACTGTTTCCATTGGTGGGTGTGTCGGTGACTTGAGGTCACAGATTCAAAATAGTCTCTAAGAGATGCAGAGGGGAGGCGAGAAGACATTTTTTCACCAGCGAGTTGTTCGAATCTGGAACGCATTGCCTGAAAGGGTGGTCGAGGCCGATCGATAACTACTTTTAAAACGCGGTGGACGGGTATTTGAGGACGGATTTGCAGGGTTATGGGGAAAGGGCTGGGGAGTGGGACTGACATTAATTACTCTATTCAAAGAACCGGCACAGACTCGATGGGCCGAATGACCTCTTTTTGTGCTGTACGAGTCTATGATTCTATGAGGGAGGCTGATGCTGCCAGTGCCAGAGATGCGGAGGTGCTGGTGCGAGCCAATCAGGAGAGCCTCGGTCTTGTTGACATTCAACTGTAGAATGTTAGCTCTCATCCAGGTCTTGATGTCTGACAGACATTCTCTCAGGACACCAGTAGTCCTGAAGTTGAGGGTGGAGGCAGAGAGGTAGAGTTGGGTGTCATCCGCATACATGTGGAAATTTACCCCATGTCTGCAGATGATGTCAACAAGGGGAGCATGTAGAGGGTGAAGAGGAGGGGACTGAGGACAGAGCCCTGAGGAACACCACACAAGATAGTGTGGAGGCTGGAGGAGAAGCCGTTTGCCATGATGAAGTGGAGGCGGCGTGAAAAGTAGGACCTGAACTAGTCAAGGACAGAACCTGGAAGGTTGAGGTGGGACGAGAGGCGGTGGAGGAAAGATTGAGTGGTCCACGGTGTCAAAGGCGGCAGAGAGGTTAAGGAGGACGAGGAGGCAGAGGGAGCTCTGGTCACACATGATCAGGATGTCGTTTGTGACCTTGACCAGAGCAGTTTCCATTTTTCGGCAGACCGAACCTTAAGTGAGCGGAGGTGGCTGGTGAACCATGGTGAGCATCGGGAGTAGGAGACAATTCGGGAGGTGAGGGGGGCAAGGGCGTTGAGTGTGGTGGAGAGGGTGCTGTGGAGAAGAGTAAGCTCAGCGAGTGGGTTGGTGCGCGAGATGGGCCACAGGGGGAGGAGTTCAGAGGATTCCAGGGCAGCGGAGAGGGACTGCGGGGAGATCTTCTTCCATGTGCGGTAGAAGATGGTGGTAGGTTTGGAGGCAGGTTGTGGAGTCCTGTAGCTCAGTGGTTAGAGCACTCGCTTTGCAAGTGAGTTCAATTCCAGGCAGGGCGAAACCTTGGGCAAGTTTCCTTACTCCACACGCCTAGTAATAATCCCTCCAAAACCAAAAACAATAATAAAAAAAATTGGCATTTTCAATCTACGACTGTTTGTGGGACATTGCTGTGCGCAATTGGCTGCCGCGTTCGCCCACAAATTTACAGTCAATTCACTTTACAGTGTGTTCTGTGAAGCGCTTTGGGACGTCCTTCCGACGTGAAAAGCGCTATATCAAATGCAAGGATTATTATTATTATTATAGTGTGGAGAGGGATATGGGAGTTGAGAGAGATGAAATGGTGGTCAGAGATGACCTTGTCAGAGATGGTGACATCTGAGATGCTGAGGCCCCGGGTGATAACCAGGTCGAGCGGGTGGCCATGGGTATGGTTAGCAGAGTTGATGCGGAGGGAGAGCTTGAGAGAGGAGAAGAAAGAGGAGAAGTCTGAGGAGGTGGAGCAGGAGGGGGTGAAGTGGAGGTTGAAGTCGCCCAGGATGATGAGGCAGTCAGAGCAGAGGCAGAGGGAAGCTAGGAGGGTGGAGATATCAGAGATGAAGGTGGGGGAGGATTTTGGGGATAAGAGGATTTTTAGAGAGAGGTGGGAGGGATGGCAGAGGGTAACTTGTTCGAAAGAGGGGAATGAGCCGGTGGAGTAGGGGGATAGGGCAAGTGATGCCCTGGATATGAGGGCCACACCACCGCCACGACAGTTGGGGCGTGGGGCATGGTGGTCAGCGTAGATGGGTGGTGTGGCCTCAGTGAGGGGGAAGGTGTCAGCTGGGGTGATCCAGGTTTCAGTGAGGGCCATAGTGTCAATGTTCTCATCGAGAACATTCTCTTGGCTATCGTGGTTTCGAGCATTTCCCAAAGAATGTTAGCAATAGCGGAAACTGGTCACTGAGAGAAGCTTTTAGACCAGCTTGAGATACCATCGGTGAGAATTCTAATCCTGGCATTTGATACAGCATCAATAACGTGCAGATCATCTCAAAGTCCTTCACACAGCTTCTGTTCGGTGTAGTGACTGTGTGTTTTGTAGGTGAACTCACCAACCAATTTGCGCACAGCAATGTCGCACGAACAGCCATGAAGTGCATGACTAACTCTATCTGGGAGATTGTTGGCAGGACACGAGGAGAGAGAAACTCACTTCTCTTTTCGAGTGGTGCCATGGGATCTTTAACATCCACCTGAAAGGCAGATGGGATCTCAGTTTAACATCTCAGTCTAGGCTGGATGCTTTTGTTCCTGGTTTTAGTGAGAATTGGATACAGACCTCTTGCTAGTGATCAGCCACTTGTCCGTGTTTGGCACAGACCCTGACAGGCACAGCTTCTTTCTTAAACACCGATCATCACAACACCAAAACCATTTTAAAATTATTTAATCGTTTCTCATTTACACAGAATTAGGATCCACAAATAATAAACTGCTTGAGATGGTTACAGGTTATCAGGTCTGAAGGGGAGAAGGGGAAGGGGGCAGAAACAAGGTCAAGAACAAAGGCTTCAACCAACAGATAACTGTGAATAATACAGGACGTCATTCTCCAATAAAACCCGCAATTTTCCATTAACAATGGTGGGACTAACAGTGTGTCAAAAATATTGCTCTAATTCAAACAAATTCCTCCTCTGTCTACCACCAGCCCTGGGCAGCTCTCTCCTGCCCATATCCCCTTGAAAGCTGTTGCTGCACTGGGCAGCCCACACCGCCCGCTTGGGTGTAAGGAGGACAATCTCAGAACTATGTGGTTCACACTCATAGGGAAGGTGAGTGGGGCGATTGGGGCACTTGGTCTGAGGCGGAAGAGAAGGAAATGACAAATAAAGTAACTTGGGGATGTTTGAGGCGTTTGTTCACATGTAGCGGTAATGAAGGTCAGGGGGGAAGGAAGCCCAGCCTGGAGCACATGCGGAGCCAGGACAATGTACATAGAACCCAGTCAGTCACAGAGAAAGTATGAGGATCGGAGGTGGATAGAGCGATGGAGTACCGGGATGGAGACAATGACTGATGGGAAAGAGGGATGGTGACAGTGAAGACTAGGAGGGAGTCAGAATATTAAGGTGAGAGATGAAGATGGATTTGCCACAAAGGAATAGAAACACAGAGACTGATAAGACTCTGTCTCGCATCGTAGCCTCCACCTCTGATCAATCTGACCACCTCGTACTGGGCAGGGCATTGAGAGACCAAGACTTAACGTCACTTGGTCTGAAATTGAACACAATTCTGCCCCACCTTAAATTATAACATAAAATGCGTCCCTAGGCTGAAGGATTCGCTGAGCCTGTGGCACCATTTGGTGTTACAATTTAAGGTGGCGCAGAATTGAATTCAGTCTGAATTTGGAAGCTGGAAAATCAGCCACCAAGTGAGGATGGGATTTAAGATTCTGAAGCAAAAACTTGGGAGGAATTTAAGGGACTTTTGTTATCTCTTTCAAGTGGAATGAAGCTCACTGGTGAGACAGGTCAATTGGAAGATGTATCCTGAAGCCCCTGCTGTATTGCTGTACATACAGACAGTCCACAGTACACATGCACATTTATATATTAATGTGATTTCACACACTCTGGTAACAATTGGATAAGGCTTTTTTTTTAGCACTGCTATGCAGATAAAATATTAATATTCTTTAATCCAATTTGCTCTTTTAAAATTACAAATTAATTAACACACTTAATAAAATATAAATATCGTGAAAAGAAGCCTGATGGATGGAAGGACAAACGACCATCACATCTAACTAGAGATAAGCAGAGTCTCTACTCGAAGATCATTGAAATTTTGGAGCGAAGGTGACTGGACACAAAGACTTGGATATGCTTGGGATAGAGACGAAGGAAACTCAACCAATATTCTCATCCCCGTGACACATGGCATCGCAGACCCGGTCATGTTAGCTGACCTTGTGATGGTATTGTGGGAGCAGCAACACTGAGACACGAGCAGACAGCTGTTGTTGTACTATAACATGATTTTGTGCCCAGAGGTCAGGCTGCCAAACGTCTCCTCAGCTCTTAGCCTCGCTTCTACTGGGTTACATTTGCCATCTGGTCCTGCCCACCCATCCCATCCCAACAGTCATTTCATAACCAGCAGCAGAAATCAGGGCTGATCTGCCCGCCTTGGAGGGGGGTGGGTGCATGGGGAGGTAGCCCCTACTCCGCTGTCCCAACTGAGATCAGTAAACCTGAGCCTCGGCCTTGTGGTGCCTTTACTCACTGGATAGTTTCCCAGCCTGTCGTCTGGGCCAGAGATCACTGGCTATTGAACAGGGATGACAGGATACCAATCTCGTGGTTTCTCACTAACCGAGGGGAAATAGCAATAATCCTCGTATTTGAGAGAGCGCCTTATCACGTCTTCAACACGTCTCAAAGCGCTTCACAGAATATACTGTAAAGTGAATTGACTGTATATTTTGTGGGCGAAACACGGCTGCCAGTTGCACAAAGCATTGTCTCACAAATAGTGGATTGAGCGACCCAATTATTATTATTTTGATCAGCCTCTTCCTAGGGTCAGGCAGGGCAACTCTCTGACCAAACCCACTAACCACAGGCTGAGACCAGCTAAGCTCACACATTACCAGGCCGGGCCTGTACGGCTCAGGAGGTAAGGGGTCACTGCCAACACCAGCGAGGTCACAGATACTTTCTGAGCCTGCTAATGGGCAGTGAGGGCTGCAGTTGGCAGTGAGGGTGGTTGACATTACTCTATTGTAAGCGGGCAGGATAGGTGGGGCTCTGGTCCTCGGCCTCTCTGCCATGTTCCTGTGCTCTAGTGTTTAATTATGTCATGGGGTAGAATAGAAACAATATTATTCAAAACAAAATCCCCCAAATATCCCGCCCCCACCCCCCGGCCCCGCCCTAACCTCTACCAGTTAGTGCACACACTCTAACAATGAAACACCACCACTGGGCAGCACTATAAAAATAACTTAGAAATGTTGCAGTTTTATAAAATCCAATGCAAAGTTACCTGCATCCATTTATCACTCTATATAGTTACATTATATAAACAGGACATGTGTGCAAACTCTCTATTTGTACAGTACTAGTGTGTGTGTGGGTATATGTGTGGGTGAGTGCTTGTTTGTGTATATCCTTGTGGATGTATGAGGATGGATTTGAATGTGTGGGTGTGTGTATGTGGTGTGTGCGTATGAGAGGCCAGGGTAGCAATGTTGAGCGCTGATCGTGTGTGTGTTGTGTTGGGGTTGGGCTGGGGCGGGGCAAGCTCAGTGGTGAACTCGGTCTCTAATGGCCTCCGGTTGCTCGTCCGCCTCCCGAGGACCAGTCAATGATGATAAAACTCAGGCTCATGAGCATAAAGGCAACCCCCAGAGCAGCAAAACAGGCGGCCTGTGGGAGAGAGAGAGTGTTGAGAGAAGGAGAGAGTGTGAGAGTGAGAGGGAGGGAAAATGTGAGAGAGAGTGTAAGAGAGGAGTGGGCTTCCTCTGTCCTTGCTTCCTTTTTCACAAATCAAAGCAGTTTATACCATTTCCCTCTTCTTGTGACTGACCTGAACACTGGACACTTTGGCTGCCTGTGCTGACTCTCAGCCTACCTGTAAACATGTTGTCCCTGATCTCCTCTGTCTGAAGTCCAAACGAATCAGCTTCAAACCTGCTCTGTCAGTGGCCACACGCCTCCTCCAGAGGGCGCTGGATAGGCATCAGGAGCAGGAGGCCTATCTGACATCTAACCTGAGGGCGTTAGAGCCTCCCCCACCTCCCCCAGGCTACCCTGACTCAGTCAGTGAGCTCCACTCAGCAGCCAATAGGTACACTCAATATATACCGTATATTCACACCATATAAAGTATATATATGCCACTGTATATGCCATATACCGTATATACCACCATATATACCATACACATACCACCATATAAACTGTACATACACACTGCCTAGCCCCGGATATACACTCTGTATACTGTATATACATCTCCGATTAGACTGAGTATAGATCTACACATTTTTTGTATACAATACAGTCGGGCCTGTTATAAAGCTATGGGCTCAGGTCCCATGGTTTCAGCGTTTTCAGGTCGTCAGATTAAAACTGAGAACTCCGGTGGGGAATGGCACTTGCTAACAGAGGTTGGGATTATTTGGAAACCACTGACTGGGAAGCCGTCCACAGTCAGTGTGGATGGGTACAAATACAGAGACTGACCCTGTTGTTTATGGTCTATCACATGTCTGACTGTAAACAACAGAAACATGCTGTAATTACTCAGAGCCTCGGAGATGAAGGGATATGAATACTCACCAGGATTTTGGGAATTGATCTCATGGGCTCCTCTTCCCGGGGCACGATGCGGATGTAAAAGACGGCCGGGAAAATGAAGATCAGACACGGAGCAGAGGTGGCACCTGCAACACAGGAGACAAGCTGTCAGTCAATTGCTCCCAGCCCAACACAATGTGCACTTTTAGAGAACTTTTCGTGTTGCTTACAGAGAAGAGAGCGAGACTGAGTGGGTGCGAGGCGGGGGAGGGAGATATCAGGGAATCACAATAAGCAATGCCACACCATGTACAAAGTAAACAACACAATGAAGTGGTCCATATTCTGACAGCCAACTGGTAGCATAAAATACCATTAAGGTGTAACCTCATGTTTGACTGGTTTTGTTAGTAACAGCTTCACATTGTCTGTAAACCATCTGTGACTCTCCTGACAGTCTTATGTGGTAGCCTGTCTCAGTGGCAGCACTCCCGCTTTGGAGTCAGAAGGTTGTGTAATCTTGTTGTGGTTGTTTTGGGTTCCAGCTCCATGTTTGTTCTTTGAACACATAGTCTAAACTAACACAGTGCAGTTCTGGGGTTATGTTGCATTGTTGAAGGTCCTATTCTTTGAATGAGACATTAAACTGCGGTCTCATCTGGTTGTTCAGGTGGATGTTAAAGATCCTGTGATGCAAAAGAGAAGGGAGTTTCTCTATTTTGGTGTCCTGGCCAACAATCCCCCAAATAATATAAGTCACTCACTTCATGGCTGTTTACGGCACAATGCTGTGTGCAAATTGGCTGCCACATTGCCCACAAAACACAGTCACTGGACTTTACAGTATATTGTGTAAAACGAATTGAGACTTCTTTCCAACATGTAAAGGCATAATGTCAAATGTAGGGATTATTATTTTGTTATTTTCATGTGTTCGGGGTAATCTCCAGTGTTTGAGGGCTACTTACAAAGCTGCAGAAATAATGTGTGTTAGCTCTCTCTGTGCGACACCACTTCTTCCATTGTTTTTTGTCAGTGAAATGGACTGCATTCACCATCTTGGACATCACCATCATCAATAAAGCCATCTCGGACCACCACTTCATCTCTCTCAACACTTCAGTACCCCTTCCCCTTTCCCAACCCTCCACCTTTACATACCGTCCATGGAAAAAAATATCCTTCCTCTCCCTCTCCACTGCCCTGGAGTCATCTGAACTCCTACACCTCTGGCCCTCACTGACCGATCTCCCCTCCTCACTTTCCTTTCTTCACAACTCCCTCCTCTCCATCCTGGACTCCCTTGCCCCCCTCACCTCCCGAACTGCCTCATACTCCCGTAAATCCCCTTTGTACACCAGCCATCTCTGTTCCCTCAAGGCACAAGTGCGAGCTGCCGAACGCCCCTGGACCAAATCCAAACTAATGGTCCATCGGCAGATTTGGCTTCACCACACCAAGACCTATCACTGCGCTCTTGCCTTTGCCAAATCCTCCTTCTACTCCAAGGTTATCTTGGAGGCAAAGGACAACCCCAGGCTTCTCTTTTCCACCACTAACCGTCTCCTCCATTCACCTTCCCATGCCTCGCCCATTCTCTCCTCAAACTCCAACTGTGAGGAGATGCTGGACTTCCTCGAATCTAAAATCGAGGGGATACATTCAGCAACCTCAGCCCCATCCACAGCCACCCCCACATTATCTCTCCCTCATGACCCACCCCCCACCCATTCCCCCCTATACTCCTTTGACCCTATCTCTCCCTCCTCCCTCACCACGACTGTCCGCAAACTCAAACCCACCACCTGCTCCCTTGATCCCATCTCCACCTCTCTCATCTCCCAGCTCCACCTTCTGGCCCCTCTCCTGTCCGAGGTCATCAACCTCTCCTTGTGCACCAGTTCAGGTCCCACCCCCCTAAAAACAGCTGTCATCACCTCCATCTTGAAAAAAACTTCCCTGGATCCATCCCTCCTTTCCAGCTACCGCCCCATCTCTAACCTCCCATTCCTCTCCAAGGTCCTGAACGAGTCGTCGCGTCCCAGCTCCGCTCCTTTCTCTCTCGCCATTCCCTCTTTGAACCCCTCCAATCCGGCTTCCGCACTGCCCACAGCATGGAAACAGCCCTAGTCAAAGTCACTAATGAACATCTGTGATCAGGGCTCCCTCTGAACACTATGGACCACTCCATCCTTATACACCGGCTCTCCGCTTTACTTCACGGACCTGCCCTTGCCTGGTTCGATTCCTATCTCTCTCACCGTCTCCACTTCATTGCCTCTAACAGTTTCTCCTCCAGCCCCCGCACTGTCACGTCTGGCGTCCCCCAGGGCTCAGTCCTTGGCCCTTTAATATCTACATGCTCCCCTTGGTGACATCATCCGCAGACATGGGGTCAATTTCCATATGTATGCGGATGACACCCAACTCTATCTTTCTGCCTCCACCCTCAACTCCAGGACCACTGCTGTCCTGACAGACTGCCTGTCGGACATCAAGTCCTGGATGAGGGCAAATTTCCTATAGTTGAATGTGAACAAGGCTGAGGTCCTCCTGATTGGCTCACACCAGCACCTCTGCACCTCAGGCTCTGGCAGCATCAACCTCCATGGTTGCTCACTTCAACTCACCAGTCAGTCAGGAACCTAGGTGTCCTGTTCGACCCTCAACTGTCTTTTCTTCCCCACATTCAAGCCATGACCCACTCTGTCTTCCTTCACCTCCGTAATATCCCCCAACTCCTCCACAACTTCACCCCTCAGGCCGCTGAAACTCTTGTTCACGCCTTCATCACCTCCAGGCTCGACTATGCAAACGCCCTGTAGCTCAGTGGTTAGAGCACTCGCTTTGCAAGTGAGAGACCTGAGCTCAATTCCAGGCAGAGGGCGAAACCTTGGGCAAGTTTCCTTACTCCACACAGAGCCTAATAATAATCCCTCCAAAAAACAAAAACAATAATAAATTGGTCATTTTCAATCTACGACTGGTTGTGGGACATTGCTGTGCGCAATTGGCTGTCGCGTTCGCCCACAAATATACAGTCAATTCACTTTACAGTGTGTGTGTTCTGTGAAGCGCTTTGGGACGTCCTCCCGACGTGAAAAGCGCTATATCAAATGCAAGGATTATTATTATTATTATAAACTAAACTTGGGATCTTGTGAACAATCTGTGTGACGACTGTCTAGAGAGCCACAGGCCTGTCACCCAATCTTAGCCTACAACAACAACGACTTGGATTTATATAGCACCCTCCACGCTGGACGGCGTCTCAGAACGCTTTACAGTAATGGATCCCGGGACCGAGCCAGGGGGAGGGGGAGGAAGGTGACCAAAGGCGCAGAGCCTTCAAGACCATTTTGCATACAAAATTTTGGATAATAATAATCCTTTGATGCAATGCTTTTCATCGAATCATAGAATTATACTGCACAGAAGGAGGACATTTGGCCCATCATGTCTGTGCTGGCGGCATATCATATTGTGAGGACATCTCAAAGTATAGGATATACTGTAAAGTGTAGTTTCTGTCTATATTGTGGAGAAACGCGGAAGGCAATTTGTATCATGGAATCTTTAACATCTTGTTCATGCCTTCATCACCTCCAGGCTAGACTATGCAAACGCCCTGCTTGTCGGCCTTCCCAACTCCTCCCTCCACAGGCTGCAGATAATCCAGAACTCTGCAGCCCGTGTCCGCACCAAACTCCGTGACCCCATCTCCCCCACTCTCGCCCGACTCCACTGGCTCCCTATCCATTAGAGGATCCAGTTCAAGATCCTGGTCCTCACCTACAAAGCCCTCCATGGCCTCGCCCCCCCACCCTATTTCTGTGACCTCCTAACCCCCTACCAACCCGCCCGTTCGCTCTGCTCAGCCGGCTCTGGCTGCTCCACGTCCCCCGACACCCTCCCCCACCATCATTGGTGGGAGAGCCTTCAGCCACTCTGCCCCTAATCTCTAGAATTCCATCCCCCAGTCACTCCGCCTCGCCCCCTCCTTAGCCTCCTTCAAGTCCCGCCTCAAGACCCTTCTTTTCAACCATGCCATTGGCCATCCCCCTTCCCCTCCCCTCCCCCCCCCCCCCGACCCCAGCTCGGGTCTGAAATGCTGTACACTGTCCAGCGCTTTGGGACGTCCTCCCGACGTGAAAGGCGCTATACAAATGTAATCTTGTTGTTGCTGTTGTTGTTGCATTCAGTGTTGGTCAAATTCGCAGACGGGGTGGGGGAGGGCATATGTTTGTTGCAGACAATGGACCCATTCAATCATCTCTTTCCAGAGTACATGCTCCACCAACCTCCCACTTCAGTGTCAAGCTATTTGTTAAACGAGTCCAAGTGTCCTGGCCTCAAACTCTTAACCTGGCAGCCCTTTCCAGGAATTAAAATGTCACCCCATCTTAGCTTTCCCTGGGAGGATGCTATTTTCTTCAACCAGTTTCCAGCCCATCAACATCCACCTAATCCAATCCTTTTAGGTGTGAAATCCCTCGATCAGATCACAATGTACATGAAGAAACCAAGGCTAAAAAGAGAGGTTCTAAGATTTGCAGGAAGAGGATTTAGTTTCTCTTCCCAGTCACAATAATAGAGTCAAATACCAAACAATATTTAGCAATTTGAGATGATAAAGCAGCTCCTCCTTTCCTCTCAAATTGATTTTCTCCACTCCTTACATTGTAGTTATATAGCACACACGGTTCTCTGAACCAGAGCCACTTCCAGGCCTCTTCTGCTCAAATCAGCCAGCAGGTGGCACAAGAGAACAGTGCAGTGACACGCTTAGCATTTCCCCTCTGTGAAGGGCAATAACACACTGCCAACACCACAACATAAGGAACTGGCTATATGTGCGCACACGTCAATGAAAAAAGACAAGGAAAGAAGAGGGATAATATCACAATAATCCTTGCATTTTACATAGTGTCTTTCCACAGTGTCAAATATCTGAAAATAGGTGGGTTTTTATTATAAAATGCAGTGATCCACCAACAGTCATGAAGTGAATGACCAATATAGCTGGAGGGTTGGCCAAGACACGGGGATCCTTAACGTCCACCTGAACATGCAGACAGGACCTCATTTTAACATCTCCTCCAGCCGGCGTCTCTGTCAACTATGAGCAAAAAGTCCAAATGTGGGT